ATTTCCTTTCACGTTTTTCTCTCCTACATTTGTATGGCAAAGGATTGCTACCCACAATAGTAGGACTCCAGACCTGACACTGATTGAGCGATGTCCCCCTGTGACAGGCTTTGCATGCTGGTGGAGTGCAGTTTTGTGGTCATTTCAACCACACCGCAGAGCCTACCACTAGAATCAGGCCAGACAGGGCTAGGCAGGCACTTCTGTCAGGCTTGTCCTGAAGAGTAAATCTTTACCAGCCACCTGTTGAATCCCCAAGTCTCCAGCAAGCAGGACACACTTGACCGCCCAGAGAGTGCTGAAAGTACAGTAACAACCAACACCACAGCTGAGGCTGGTGTGGCACTGAACAGTGGCAAAAGAAGCAAGAACTTCCAGGCCCAAGCCAAAAGAAGCAGGGAGAGAAACTGAAGGGGGAAGAGCTGCCCACCAAGCAAAGGATGATGTAACAATTCTGTAGCTCCTGACAGGGTAGTCAGACCAGGTGTCACCAGCCAGTCTGTGACAGGCTGCCATTGCCGTGGTCCAATCAATTGTATGGGGCAAGATCACTTCCAGCTCCATCCTACCACCTTGCTTGGTTTCCCCAGTTTTAATTTCCTTCTCATTCAGTTAGTTTCAAATCAATTTTTACAGAAAAGCTTATTTATTCATTCTCTTGTTGAGAATGGTCTTTGCCCAAGCTTCCTTGCTTCCTGCAGCATCTGGCACTGCACAGCACTATGAGCAGAGAGACATGAAGAATGGGGAAAAGAAATTCTGCTGCCATGTTTATGCAGTAGTACTCAGAGCTGAATTAGAAGTGCCCATCAGACTCTGGGTCAAGGAGCAAGCAAACAAGTCTCCCAGCAATCATATGATAGCATCTGTGTCCATGCAAAGTGTAGAGCTTTTGTTTGCACAGTTTGTAGAATTCGAGGTTTTATTTGAGAAACATTGTAATTGGTTTGTTTCTAGTATCAAAAAGCTGCCCCTAAACTAGTAAAAATAATTTCATCCCTGAAGGTTTTCACACACAAGGATGTCTCTTAAAAGATTAAGTCCTATCAACAATAACTCACACGCAAGAGAAAAGGTAGAGGTCTGAACCAAGCTCTGTTAAGTCAGTGGAAAGACTCCTGCTGCTTTCAAGACAATGCACAGATCAGCTAGTAGATTAGTTCCTTCCCAGCTCAGTAGATTAGTTCTCCTTAATGAGTCTTAACAGTCCCCCAGGCTCTGCAAATCACTATATATAGCCAGTAATGCTTATACAGCATTAGTAGAAGAAGCAGGCATAGAATATATTAATACCAAATACTAAGGTAGACTCATCACAGCACAAAGTCATTATCAACAGCAGGCAGAGGGGCCCTGCTCATCAGCCAATGTATGCCAGTTAGAAAGTACCACCAGAGACAGAATTTACAGTGAGATGTTTTTGGAAACTATCACCATGCGGGTCTCGGTGCAGAAGTTTATGAGTGACTTGGGCTGTTTCTATGTTCTGACACTGGAAATGACTGGTGAAGGCAACTCATGAGCACCTGGAGGTACAGACTGAGCTTGCAGATGTCTCCCCAGAATGTGAGTAGAACTTGTGTCTATTGTTACAGTGAGCAGTACCTATTGCAGCTAAGAGAACAAATTAAGCTGCTTTTTTTTTTCTAGTGCACAGACAAGAGAACATGCAGTCCTTTCCTTTCTAAAGTAATTTTAGCAATTGTTGCTTATCTAGGTACCTAAAATGTCCAAACAAAATGCTAACTCAGAATGCTCTTTCCAACATCTGGAATCGTTCCTTACTTCAATTTCCAATTACCTAAGAGTTTAAAAGGTTTTGTTTTCCTGGGTCTTTTACTAGTGCTGTGGTAAACATCTGAAGTGCAAGCCATACAAGGAAGATACAATTATGGTGAAAAATCAGCCCCCACTGTACTAGACTACATTTATCTCCCTGCAAAATGCTGTATAAGAGAGTTTGGAGATGTGTTTCTTTTAAGGTGACATATTAATGAAGATCTTAATTTATCTGTTGACTGCCAAACTGAATATACTGACATATTTACCCAGCATAGGAAAAAGCAATCCTTTACCATGAAATGAAAGTGCAAAGCCCTGCACAATCAGGAATAGCTTACCTAAGACTGGAGATGTGATGTGTTTGTGCTGGCATATTTTTTCAATTCATTAACTAAAGACTAGGGGGCTTTTAGTTCTGTCAGGATGAACGATTAGTAAAGTTTGTGCTCCCTAGATTCTGGAGAGCTGTTGGATGATCTCTCAGATCATTATCTGAAACATCTAAACCTTCCGCTCAGTGCTACATGAGTGCTGATTCTGAAGAACAACAGTCCTTAATTTCCCCTTGGCAGTTTTTCCTCAGCATGTCTGGCAGGCCACTCCACCCACTGCAGAGCAGTGACTTCTGGAAGTTTGCACTGCCTTCACAGTGGCAGATGAAGGAATCCAAAACACACCCAGACCCCAAACTTTGCCCCACCCTGAGGTTCTTTGGCATGACTACCAAAGCAAACTTGCTGTAGGAGTAAACCAGTAACACCGTCCTTCAATACAGGGTCCATGTGCTTCAGTTTCCTGTAGTGCAGAGAAGCAGAGGAATGCTGTACTTTGCAGTCATCGAAAAATCTTAAAGGGCTCCCAATGCTGTCAGTTTGCTTTCTCTAAAATCAATTGCTTTTATAACAGCACTTGTCTGGAAGTAAGAAGCCAAGCTCTATCCCAAGAGTTCTCAATTTGCCAGACAAATATCAAAGTTTTGATGGAAAGTAGAATTTGCCTTCAGCTACTTACTGGCTACATTATTAATCAGAATTTAATATTTACGAAGATACATCAATAGTCTAGAAAATCATGCTGACGTTTTCTCTGGAAACACACTCTTGGCCACTCCACGAAGCTATTTCAAAATCAATATGCCCCTGGAAGACAAGTGGCTTTTTTAGTGCTTTACAATTAGCAAAAAAGAAATATTTTGGATAACACTGTACATTCACAGAACTAGATGATTTTCTCAAAAGAAAACTTTAACTGAGACTATTTCTCCTGGTTCTGACCACAGACTCCTTCCAGCAGCAATAACATTATCTAGCAGAATATGTGGTGGCACAAGGCTACAGCAGAGCAAAACCCACCATGATGCTCAGGACTGAACTTTGCCGTGTTACCAGAGAAGGAGCACTAGTACTCCATGAAAACTAGGCAGTTAGGAATTACAGGCTTAGTAACACTGGCCCAGGACTGATAGAGAAAAGAGCAGTGGAAATTCCACACACAGTGCTGCCTTCTCAGCTGTCTCCCCTAGAGCCCTTTGTCTTATAGATCTTCTGTGGCAATTATTGCTACCTAAACACAGTGGCTAACACCAACCAGAGCAATTGCAGCTGTTTTTCCTACAGAAGGCAGGTAGGCATCCTGGTCAGACACTCCGGGACTTCTTCACAGAGCCCAGTTTCAAATTTAACCTTCTTCCCAGTAGTGCAAGTTCACTGCCCACTGCTTCCTCCCTACAGCACAGTCAAGGAAGGAAGATGTGATTTACAGCTCCTGTTTCCAGTTAGATTAATCTTTTACCCAAATTTCTAATTATTTTGTTTCATTTTGTATTGGCACAAAGGCAAATTCAGTCCCAAAGTTATACATACCACAGCACTAGCTTGCCAAATAGTTTGCTGTGATTTATAGGTGTGGTGTTACCAAAGCCTGTTGATAGTAAATCCTCCCTCTCTTTGTGTCGAGCTCTGCTCCAAATTCTAAATCAGCAATCAAAGGAAATGTCATTGCCTGGCACGTCACTGCAAATGGACTGGGGGTATCTATGATCAGCTGCTGCAACATTCTGTTTTCAGACCTTATTTTACAGCACAGAAGCTTGAATTATCCTCAGTGCTTTCACATAGTTTCAACGGCACTTTGTCAGAGCACACTCTGAGTCCTCTCAGAAAATAAACGTCACCAACAGAGTGCAACATTACAAAGATGATTCCCAAGTGCACACATTCAGGAACACTGCAATCCTTGTCAAACTTAATAGGGGCATTCACAGCAAAAAAGCCTAGTGTCTAAGTGAAGTACCTGAGCTAGAAGGCCAATTACATCAACTGCAAAACAACAGTGAGATGGGCTGCTAAAATAATCAGTGTAAGCACCCCAAAATTCAGTGGAAGCCCTCCTGTAGATGCAGTGGAAGGAGAAGCAAACTCTTACCTGTATATATTTGCTTAACTTCTTAAAATCAGAAAGCATTAGTCAGTAACTCAGGAGTCCATATTGATGGCTACTGAGAAATTCAAATACATAAAATAAGATCATTAAGCAGTAATGAATGTTGTCACTGGTTATCCTTTGTTATCCTATGTGACTGACTTAATTATTTAATGAGAGTTCAATATTCATTCACTATCAGATTCTAAGATTCTTTCCATTCCTACTTGGTGAGGTAACAGCAAAGTTTAGAATCAGAATAAATGAACTCAGAAGGAATAAGAACAATGGACAGGGACTACCAAATAGGCCTAATACATTGGTCCTCCTGTAATATTCATGTCTTGAGATAGCAAGAATGTTATGTAAAAAACAGCCTTTAAAAATCCCTCATTTTAAAGGTGAGATGTCTGCACCTCTACTCATATGTAGGTAACTAGAGCCTGGGTGGCTGCTTAGCACCTGCAAAAAAAGTTTCTCTTTAACAGAAAATGCTTATCAGATTTATTTGCTTTAATTAATTATTTTAGTTTAATTCTTGTACAAACCAAAAATACAAAAAGAAAACTAGTAATCAATTATGAAGATTTTAGATGGCAAGAACTGCATTCTACATTCATAAAAAAATTTCATAATAAACAAACAGTATCATCCCCAATGGTTAGGAAACCTTGTGTTTCCTCAGTGCCTCTTTTTTTTATTGAGGGCAACATCTCCATGCATTTCTACATTTCTTTATAAAACACACTTCCTATGTAATATATTCTGCTGTGCTGTGTATCAGTGTTAAACAGGCAATGAGTGACAGAAGACTCAAGCACTGCCTTGAAGTCTACCTTGTCTATGGGGTAAAGAGCAGATCACTCATCATCACACAACACAAGTCACACAACAAATTAGTCATCAGATCCACCACCACACCTTACACTTCTCTGGTTGTTCTTGGGGTCACTCTGCTTCCATGCTACAGATTAGAAAAGCAGCCTGGGTGGCACCATACAGGTGGTCAAAGAGAATTGTCCTTTTTCCCAGAGGAATTACTCTCTCCAGTATCAGCACAAATAATGACCAATGCCCACAAAAAACCCCAGACACTACTTAGAGAACTGATGCAGTCATACCTTTCAGTCTGAAATGTCCTTAGAGGACAGGGCTGACTAGAAAGATTGGTCAGCAAAGCGTGAAAACAGTGGAAATCTATTGAAAAGAAAGACAGGAAAGGTTTTGCCAAGGTACATATTACTCATGGATCCCAATCACATTGTGCCAAAGCTTCTACCCCTGCTCTCCCCCAACATATAAGGGCTGCAGCCAGAAACAAAGCCCCTTACAGGAGTTGTGTCTCAGGAAGTTGAAGGATTAGCTAAGCACATTTGCTTCATTGCACTTCTACATCATTAACTTATTTGCTTGTAGCTTTCATTTTCAGACTCACTGCACATAGCAATTTTGGCTTCCATATTTTCTCTTATAATTTACTGGCTCATCAGAGACAGATACAGAGTGAGAAACCTGAGTGGAAAGCATGTCTTCATAACAGGCTGTGACACTGGACTTGGAAACTCCCTGGCTAAATGGCTTGACAAAAGGGGATTTTGTGTCATTGCTGCATGTGCCACAGAAAAAGGAGGCCAAGAGCTACAGTCCTGCTCTTCACCCTCACTGAAGACAGTGAATCTGAACTTAGCAGACTCCATTAGCATTGCCAGGGCTGTGGGGTTTGTGACTGAAGAGACAGCTGGCAAAGGTAAGTGGCAAGGCAACTTCCCAGAAAAATTATTCAATACAACCAAATCTGGTCTAGCTAAAAGTTCCATTCCCTCTCCACTCACTGCAGAGGCATTTTTATCTTACTAATGAAACACATCCACTTTTCAGTTCTGTCATTTCTCAGTTCAGAGAGATTCCCTCCAGCAATGCTTCCCATTGCTTTCACCAACAGAGTGCCTAACAATCTTGTCTCTCAGTCTGTTAAAACCAGATCATTCCCAGGTATGTTTTTTAGACTCTTTTTGGTGCAGCTGAAGAATGTGGAAGGAAGGTGCTAACTGATACCAAAAAGAACTTTCTTGACAATAAAATCACCCCACTCAATTAAACACGGACAGTGCAGGGATTCTGTAGCCCTCCTCTAGTAAGCAGAAGAGCATATTTTTGCATGGCTGAATAAGTCTGATGCTTGCATTGTACACAATAATTGCACTGACTGTAACAATTAAACTCAATTTCAGCCAGTTTTCCTGGAGTTGTTACATAGGTAGCTCTCACTACTGCTACCATACACCTCTGAGCAGTCGTGTAAAAGAGGAAGAGTTTGTCCTTGGATACCTATGAAACGTGTCAAAAAATAGGTGGCTTTGGCAAAGGGTGCTAAACAGATCTGCCTGGTAAATATATTCAACTGAGGCAATATGTGTTTCTTTATCTGCACTGACATCTCAGACTAGACATTGCTAAAGGCCACAAAAGGGGATTCACACCAGTGCAACTACCAGCTGTAACACAGTTTATACCAAATATTCAATAGGTTTATAAATTAATTAACTACCTAAACCAGCAAAACATATATCTTCTACCAGTAGGACTTTCTCCTCAAAGCTTGTAAAACACCGTTGACCTTGTCATGAATACTCCAGACCATTCCTGAATGCAGAGATTAAGAGCAAGGTAAACAAAATTATTAGCACTTACTTCCTCCAGCAGGCTCCTGCTTCCAGCTTGGGGAAAGCCACACGTTCTCAGTCAGGACAACCACTGCTGACACTGTCACTTCAGTCTGTGAAACTCTTTATGGAGGCTGAGTGCTGGACTTTCAGCCTCTCCCCTCAGGCACAGGTTGTCCTCAGCAAACTCTTAGAAACGTCACAAATATTTATCTTAAGTTCCTCAAGTAATTTATAAAGGTAGTAAAGCAGTATTATCAATACACAGTGTTAAGCCAGTATCTTTAGAAGTATTGACTAATTCTACACATCTGGCTCAGACCTTTAGACCCCAAACCAGAAAAATTAGTCTCTCCACTTTTATGCAGACTCTTTCATTTTCACAATAACGTAAATGCATATTAGGAGCCTACATACTTGAGTGGATCTGGACAGTAAAGTCCAGTATGGTGGCCTATATCTCCAGCCAAAGTAGTTTTCCTTGAATACTTTATCCATGCTCTTTTAGAGTCATTGCCTAAGGCCTTCAGCAAATTTTACCAGGTATACAGAGTAGATCATAGCAAACCCCAGACAACTGTATTCGTGTCACTGAGGGTTTTGCAGACTGTGTGCTTGCTTTCCAATGTACATATGATACTCCAGGGTAAGATACTGCCATATACTGAAATAAATGGTTTTGCAATCCTCTTAGGGCTTTTTGGCTTGGTGTGCAATGCTGAAGGAACAGCTCCTGTAGCACCCACTGACTGGCTGAGGATTGAAGACTTCCATTCAGTGCTGGATGTTAATCTGCTGGGATTGATTGAAATCACACTCAAGCTTCTGCCACTTCTGAAAAAAGCTGAGGGAAGAGTTGTCAATCTAACTAACGCCAGAGGCCTCATGGCTTTTGTAGGGGGTGGCTATAGTCTGTCCAAATGGGGCATGGAAGCTTTCTCTGACACTTTACGGTGAGTAGCCAGAAACACATGCATGAATCCAATAACAGATTCCAGACGTGCTGAGGAAGGGTGACTGTATGTTTGCCCCTCTTGATTTCTCTCTGGAAATCTTGCCTAAAGGGGAGAAGGAAAATAAGAGGATGTTGGTCACTTGTTTAGGATTTTAGTCTCCAGTACTATGAACAGACCCATCAGGGAACTGCACTGGGAAAAATTTTCATATCCTAGACAAGTTGTTAGCATGCAGCTTTCAGGCATGTGAATCCACTACTTACATGAAAGCAAATCCTGGTCAGGCACCCAAAGTTTCCCGGGGAAGTTGTACTTGCAGACTTTTTGCTCTAACCTTCACAACAATCTGAGCTGGGTGATTCCAGACAGCAACCACATTACCAAAGGTAGTTGTAACTTCAGAAAATTAAGCTGAGCACCCTTCACTGAAGCCAGTTGTGCTTTACTGCCTCCAGAAGGCTAAGGCCCAGCCCAGGGAGTCAAGTCTTCACAAAGACTAGAAAAGTTGGTTTCAAACCATTATGAGAACTTAGATAAAGAAAGTATATATCCCAAGGAAATAGAAAATAATGGCTAATGTACATGTGGTTCATTCCTTTGTATACTTTAGAATGCAGCTGCCTGGGTCTCTTGAGCTGCGCGGCAAGACAAAGAGGCCATTTACACCTCAAAGGAGTTGTACAGAAACTCAGAATTACATAGAGGGAACTACACTACAAGAAAACACACTAACCTTTATTGCACTAACATTTAATCATTTAACCATAGCCCTTTAACCATAAGATGGAGAATAAAGTTCTAATACAACTGAAAATTTTTGCTCACTTTTACTTTTTCCCAGACACTTTAATAATCTGTTCCTGTAAACTAAAATGATGGAACAGTATTTGAAATAGTCAAAAGTTTTAGTATGATAATACATGACTAAGATGCAGCTGGCTGCTGCATCCTTTTCACCAGTCCAACATAAACGACACAGAGAGCTGTAAATCTACTTGACACTTTTTTTTTTTTTTTTTAAATCTCATTTAATTGCCAGCTGTTGTATTGCAGGACAGGAACACTGCTATGAGGTTAATTTGAACATCTCAAAATAATTCTGACATTTGAAGATAAGAATATTCTTTTGTGTGACAGACTTACCACTTATGTTTAATAGTTATGCCATTATTGGGTGGTTATTGGAGTTTTCATCCTTCTAGGATAGAGATGCAGCATTTTGGAGTGAAAGTAAGCATTGTTGAGCATGGTTTCTTTAAGGTAGGAGTAGTTAATTCAGATATCACCGAGAAATACCTCTTCAGACTTTGGAACGGACTGACTCCTGAGATCAGGGACTCCTACGGAGAAGAATACTTTGTTGAATGTAAGTAGAAAAAAAATTGTATGAAAGCTTAGGGGGGATATTATCAACATGTATAAATACCTGAACTGAGGCTGTAAAGACAACAGAGCCAAGCTCTTTTTAGTGGTGTCCAGGATAGGACTCGAGGCAATGGGCACACACGGACACACAGGATGTTCCTGCTGATCAGGGATCATATTTTTGGAGTGAGGACGACCAAGGACTGGTACAGGTTGCCCAGGGAGGTGACGGAGTCCCCAGTCTTTTGAGATATTCAAAAGCCATCTGGACATGATCCTGGGCAACCTGGTCTAGGTAACCCAGCTTGAGCAGGTGGGTTTGGTAGCAGAGGTCCCTTTCAACTTCAACCTATGTGTGATTCTGTGAATATTTTCTGGACTTTGTTAACGCTCATCAAGAACCCCTCACGGACTGTTCTGGACTACATGTATGTTAGATGAGGCCTGAGCTATTAGTTCACACATAGATTGATGAGATGTGAGGTCACACTACCTTCCTTAGTCCCTCAATACTTAGAGGTAGGATCCCAAGTGGGAATGAATTGCTATGCCCACATGCTAATTGGTCTGAAAAGTTGTGCTGTGTCACACTGCACTTACTGTACAGAACATCTGGCTCACAATATGGGTAAGGGAGGTTTGTGCTTACTGGGCTCCTGGGTGTTTTGCAGCCTTTCTGGTCTCTTGAGCCAGTAGTTTAAAGCAAGCCTGAAGCTGTAGCCAGACCCTTGAATACAAAGAATACTCTCACAGAGAATGTTGTGTATAAATGCTTTCAGGTTTATTTTCTTCTTTCCAGATGTAAAAGCACAAAGATCTTCAGTCAGAAGACTGTGTGACCATGATATTTCTAGTGTCATAAAATGCATGGAACATGCCCTGATAGCAAAGTACCCAAGGACACGATACAAAGCTGGATGGGATGCAAAGTTCTTTTGGCTGTTTCTCTCCTATGCCCCAAGCTGTTTATCTGACATGTTGTTGCGTGTGATGTTTCCAGCTCCAGCAGATAGCGGAAGATCAGTTCCTGGAGTTCTAATTAATGTCTAGTATTAAAACAGTATCAACTCTGCACAAATAAATACTAATTCTGTCAAAATCAGATGTCCTCTTTACCAGTTACTAGACTGTTTAAATTCCTTTCAGATGACACTTTCTCCATCCCCCACCCTTCCTTACCTGAAATTTCTGAGTTCACAGGTCGGCTTGTAAATCCAGTGTGTTTTTGAAGGCCATTTTTTATGCTCAGAAATGATACCTCTATAGAATCTGCATTCATAAAATATTCAGCTACAAAGCTAGTTGATACTATTCACACAATAAAAAAAATTTAAATAAGGAAAATAAAATCACTAGAAGAATCAGTTTTTCACATTGACTTCATCAACACATAGGCTGCTAGTGATCTTGAAATAGAACAATGGTCTTTCAGAACACATACATGTACCTTACAGAATGTATTTAGTCAGATTTAGTCATCTATTTCACTGGCAGTTTGCTCATGGTCATATTCAGGAGTTGATAATCTTCAAAAGCTTCTAAGCACAAGACATGAAGCCAAACAATAACAAAGCCCAGCTAATGCAATATATTCCAAAAATTACAATTACAGTGTTTGACCACGTCTAATCACCTGATTATTCAATTGTGTAGAACAAAAACACAAAGTTTTTTACAGATATGCAATTATGGGGAAAATCAAAATTCCATTGTACTATCCAAACAGCATATCCAAACACATATTTTAAACTTCTTCCTAATATTAGTATAGTTTATGAGGAAAATACTAAAAATAATACGCCTTCACATTTCTTTCACCCTCAGTGTGCTCTGCAAATTAAAAGTATTATTATTTCACTTATCAGATGAAATAGGTCATTAGTGTATGCTATGGCAAATTCTTCCAAGTGTGCAAAGAGTGTGTTCAGAATGGTAGAACGTTAGCTGAGGTTCCTGTGCCTCTTGTACACTATTTCTATCTGCTAAGCTGTTGGCCAGAGGTTCACAAACTGGTGTCCCTAAAGATATTAAAATTGAAGGGGTAAAGGTTTTATTTGCTAAAGTGCTGTGCTGGTGATTAATCATTAATGTGCAATTCAATTAAGCTTAGCAAAATACCTTGTGCAGGTCAGAACTCCAAACATAAGAAGTTTCATCACTGTGTGTAAGAGGGGGCACGTGTGTAGGTTTGTACATGTGCAAGAAAAGGACAGAACGTAAAAAGTGTTAGCAACCCTTAAGCATTTCATTGAGGTTCTATTCTCTGGCAAATGGCTTCAAGAATAAATTTATTTTACTTCATTTCAAGATAAATACCTGATTAATATCTGGCCTGACAGCTATAGAGAGAATGTACATGAAAAAACTCAATGGCATAACCTAGCAGCCCTGTAGTTGTAGATTACAGAGAGTTGCTGAGATCTCTAAAAATCAGCCTTCTTTGAAAAAGAAAGAGTTCAGAATTCAAGAATTCAAGCAGGGACTGTCCTTCTAAGGGACAAGGAATACAAGTGAAAAATGAAGCTAGGAGTGGAATCTAAAGCTTCTGTTGAAGGAAGTACCAAAACCTAAATTTTACATAAACAGAAGGGTACAGTGTGCTATGCTACTGAGAGGAAGAGTCCCAGCTGAAGTTTAGGAATCCTTCACCATCAGGTGTGTTAAACCTACATACTCCCTACCTACACAGTAACTCAGGGATGGCTTTCATCCACATCTGAAAAGTTATGATTAGTACAGGGGAAAAACACATCTCTGACATGGCTGACATAGTAGCAGTTTTCTCTAAGAGTGGTTCCAGAGTTTTCTGTTGACAAATACTATTCCCAAAACTTATGCTCCTTTTTCTTGTGGTATGCAACTGCAGGTAAGACTTGTGGAAATGTCAGCCCTGTCTTCTACCTTTAAAAAAAACATTGTGAACTCTTTCCTTAAGAACAGCAACCTGTTTCTCAAAGACATCCTTACAGATGTGTCTGTTGCGCTGCAGACTCTAAGGAATTTTCTACATTAAAGCATTCAGATATTAAAAAATGCCTTTAAAAAAACACATAATTTGCTTAAAGTTAAAAAAAAAAAATCAAAGCATCAAATTCTGACCTCAGATATGAAAATTAATTGAACTAACATTTTAATTACTTACATCCATACTACCTTGAAGTCAGTATCTCAATAGTAAGAGTTTCCTGTTTCAAGGGCCAGTTTATTGAATGAGTGTAATGGGGCAGTTTTCACACTTACAGAGATGTCAGTACCAAGACATCTTATATCACGAACTTTAGACAGTTGTGTGAAGCATGAAGCCCTATTCCTATTTGACTTGATCTAAAGCACTGGTGTTTCCATCTCAGAGTGCACTGAAGTCTTCTCAACTGAAAAAAGTACATAGAGCCTTGACATGAATTATGGAATAAGAATGTGATAAAATAATAAATTTATTAGATTTATTCAGCAGCATCATTTTACAGTTGTCTTTTCTAATCAAAGTATGTTACAAAGTAATTACAAGTATTCTAATTAGAAATAGTATATATGTTGAGAATTTAGATATAAAACAATCAAATAGCAGAAGTCTCAATTATTATAACTTTAGGAATCTTTTATATGAGTAGCTAGCCAGGAGTACTGAAGAATATGTTCCTGTAATTAGGTTTCCTCAAATGGTTCATGTTGTGGGAACTATCCTGGCTAATTAATAGAAGAGCTACTAAGATCAACAGTATGTTCTGATGGAAGGTATAGAAACAACCAGATAACTACAAAGACTGCACTAGTAGAAATTGTTTCCCTTTCTATTCATGTCCACCTTAGGAAATAAATAGTCAATAAAATTAAATTTTCACATTAAAAAAAACCCCTGAATAATTTCTTAAATGAACCAGTATCTTTCATATTTTGCTGTTTGGAAATAAGCCATTACAGAAATCTAGCTACTTCATTTAGTAGCACAAATTACTTCCACAGACTCCAGCCAAGAACAGAGCTATTCCATTGATGAGCAAGAGAAAAATCTCATTAAGTAGTCATGGCACTAAAATCTAAATACATCCAATCTTTTTAGGAAGACTATTAATGGAATGGTGTTAATTGGAACCTAGGAGAAAAGTATGTGCCTTATAGATCGAGAGGAAATTATCTCAGGCAGTTAAAATATTGTAAGAACAACATTTTCCACAGGTAACTATTCAGCATAATGATGCTGTATTGACTCTTCCATCTTTTGTTTGACACAAGATAAACAGAGACATCTTTTTTTACGTACAGTAGTATATAAAAGGGTGGTAAAGATGCCCAGAGCACCAGGAGAAGTTTTAAAAGGTGCTGTTACAAAAGGTATACTCCAAATACCCTGTATATCAGTAATGTTCCTATATTTGCCTTGTTTGGTTCTTTTTTTAGTTTTAAGCACTTATATAATTAATTTATCCCTAAATATATGACCAATTCCATACAAATTTCTACTAGCAACATCACTGAACAACATAATCTTAGAAAAATTTACAAATGTACAATATATTTATAACATTACTTTCAGACAGCTTCAGTGCAAAGATATACATATAGTACATCATGATAATTGTTCACAAAAATAGAAATTGGCATTTGTCAAAAAACAAGGCATAGTTTCAATGTACATCTCCAGCCAGTGGCTAAGAGATGTGTATGTTTTTATAAAGCATTTGAATGTGAACCTTACTCTTCTGTTTATAAAAATATATGTGCAAATGGATGTGTCTAATTTTCCCTAAATCAGTTACCTAGTTATACCACAGAGTCCTCTTTAACAAGATTAGCGGTGTCTTTAAATGTATCCTCTGTTGCTGTGTAAGCTAATGGCTGGTCTCTCTTCAGAATAATCTTGGGAGGCAGTGAAGGAGAAGGGGTAGGGATATTTTCTGTGTCCTGTTGCCGTTCCTTTTCCATCTGAAACAATAATCATAAAATCCAAGTTTATATTCTAACGCACCATATATCCAACCTTAATTTTCAGAAAAGTTAAATAAATATTCCTAAAGTCAAATGTCACTGTCACTGACATTACACTGTCAGTGTAAGTTATTTCTTCAATCACCACCTGTAACAAAATCAAACGCTAAATTCACTTCAGGTAGTACAGCTAAGTAAATACAATATTACAAGTTACTCTGGAACTTCTACTTTAATGCTTAGAGTCAGGAGTAGTTTGATATGTCTTTATGCACATGCATGAGTGTAGATACCGTTTGTAAGTACTACATTCATTGGGGAAATGAATCTCCAGCTTTCTGAACTCTCTCACATTGTTCAAGCATTAGAAACCTAAATTCTTCACAAAAGGCAGACAGTTTTAAGTCATGTGACTTTTGGGAGGAGGTTCTTAAGTCACTTAGGCTATTTGGAAATTTTAATCTGTAAAATGAAAAGGGCTGGAATTACTGGTTCAAGTCAGTAGAACTCCAAAACTTCACGCCCAAGCCCGGGGGGAATTCCTTCAGCACACATACCACCTGTTGGCACACTATCTGAAAAGAACTGTCTCACCCAACCATATGGGTAAGAAAATAAGGCAGTTGTAGAAACAAGGCTGCAGTGCACAGAGCTATTGAATTTTTGTGCAGTGCTGAAGCCAGGACTGAGAGGACAGAAATAGACACTTCACTCCTGGTGCAGAAGAACAGCCTCCCAATTGTGGGTCCTGGATCTGTGCCAGAATGCACCAGCAAGCTGAAACCAGTCCCTGAGATCCCAGAGCAGGAGCGGACCACAGTGTTCGGGCTGGGAATGCAGGGAAGTGGGGAATGCAGCTGTGCTGCCTAGCTGAGCCTGCTCAACATCTCATTTTGCAGGAGGCTTAGCAACTTTTCTCACAATTACTTTAGTCCTACCCTAACCTGCACTGGAATTTCTGTGCTGTTTCACATAGCAGCAGAATCTACCCATAATCTTTATTCTATGAGAGCAAGAACAAAGTCTAGCAATATGTTATCTGGAAAACAGAATTATTCAATATTAAACAATACCTCTGCATATATTGGGTTTTCAAAATTAGTATTTTGTTTCATTTTTCTCTTGAAGAAACGCCACTT